TTTCACTGGGGAAATCATGCCATGGGGGGTTATTTTATGGGGAAATCACTGCCGGGAGTTAGTTTATGGGGAATCCTGCCATGGGAGTTTGTTCTGGGAATACTGCCAAGGGGGGTTATTCACTGGGGAATCACTGCCAGGAGGGTTTTTCACTGGGGGGAAAAAAAAAAAAATTATCATGGGAGGTTAGTTCACTGGGGGAAACACTGCCATGGGGGGGGTTATTTTTTTGGGGAAAACACGCCTGGGGGGTTATTCTTTTGGGGAATCACTGCCGGGAGTAGTTCCTGGGGAATCACTGCCATGGGGGTTTGTTCATGGGGAATCACTGCCATGGGAAAAAAAAAAAAAGGGGGTTATTTTACGGGAATCACTGCCATGGGGGTTTGTTTACTGGGGGAAAAATGGGGGAGGTTTTTATGGGGGGAAACACTGCCATGAGGGGTTCACTGGGGAATCACTGCCAGGGGGTTTTTCCCGGGGAACACTGCAAGGGATTATTTTAATTTGGAAAAACACTGTTGGGAGGTTTTCCTGGGGAACACTGCCTGGGAGGTTAGTTCACTGGGGAATCACGCCATGGAGTTAGTTCACTGGGGGAATCACTCCCTGGGAGGTTTGTTCACTGGGGGGAAACCTGCCAGGGGGGTTATTTTACTGGGGAAAACACTGCCTGGGAGGTTGTTCATTGGGGGGAAAACGCCATGGGAGGTTTCACGGGGAATCACTGCCCATGGAGGTTGTTCATGGGGAATCACGCAAGGGGGGTTAGTTCACTGTGGAAATCACTGATGGGAGGTTTTGTTCACTGGGGGAACACTGCCATGGGGGGTTAGTTCACTGGGGAATCATCCCTGGGAAGGGGTTAGTTTACTGGGGGAAACACTGCCATGGGAGGGTTTTACGGGGAATCAAGCCATGGGAGGTTAGTTCACTGGGGGGAATCACTGCCATGGGGGGTTAGTTCATGTGGAATCACTGCCCGGGGGGTATTCACTGGGGGAATCACTGCATGGGAGGTTATTCACTGGGGAAATCCCTGCCCCTGGGGGGTTAGTTTACTGGGGAATCACTGCCATGGGAGGTATTCACTGGGGGGAAACACGCATGGGGGGTAGTTTTTACTGGGGAAAACACTGCCATGGGGGGGTTAGTTCACTGGGGAATCACTGCCATGGGGAGGTTAGTTCCCGGGGGAACACTGCATGGAGGTTTGTTCACTGGGGAATCACTGCCCTGGGAGAAGTTCACTGGGGGAATCACTGCGGGATTAGTTTAAAATGGGGAATCACGCCATGGGAGGTTTTGTTTCCTGGGGAATCCTGCCATGGATTTTTTACTGTGGAATACTGCCATGGGGGGGAGCACTGGGGGAAAAATTCAGGGGGGAGTTTAGGGAAAAAACATGCCAAAAGGGGTTGTTCACTGGGGAACACGCAAAAGGGAGGTTTTGTTCACTTTGGGGAAACTGAGGGAGGTTTGTTATGGGGAAACTGCCTTGGGAGTTTGTTTACTGGGGAACATCGATGGGAGGGGGTTCAATAAAAAAATTGGACAAATTTTTGGAAATTTTGGGGGGAAAATTAAGGGGGGGAAAATGAAAAATTTTCCGAAAACCCAAAATGGGTTTTGGGCCCTTGCAATAAAGGCATTCCCCCGGGAAACACGTGGGGAAAGTTTAAATGGGGAAATCTTGGGATTATACTGGGGGAAAAATTTTCCCCGGGAGGGTTTTTTTAACTTTTGGGAAACTTTGGGGGAAAAAATTTAAGAAAAAATTTGGGGGGAAAAATTTTAAAAAAAAACTGTAAAAAGTTTCATAGGGGGACTTTTTAAAAAAAGAAATGGGTTTCAACCGCAAATGGGAAAGTTTGAACCAATAAAAAGGAGAAACTGTTTGGGAACCCTGGCAAAACCGGGGAACTTTCCCTTTGTTGGGGCCAGTAGTATTATAACGAAGGAAACATGTTGGGACCACCAGCGAAAAATGAAGGAAGCGTGTTGGGACCTCTAACATTATAATGAAGGAAACGTGTTGGGACCTCTAACATTATAATGAAGGAAACGTGTTGGGACCTCTAACATTATAATGAAGGAAACGTGTTAAATATTACTGAATATCATCATTATTGGGACTTGTGCTATCCAATTAACAGAGCGAACTTAGCGTTCAAGCAACAGCACCAGTGGCGAAAGTTTGAAGCCAATCAGACGAGCCATTCTCCAGTGGCGGCACTAATTCCTAGGCACTATCCTGGCCGGTAGATACTTCCATTCTTAATTTCTAAGGCGCTGAGATGAAGTAAACTGAAATTTAGCTAACTTGGTTTAATGGTAATAAAAACATCTTAGTATATTGTATATAATATTAACAAATCTGTAACTATACTCTAGTATTTTATTCTCCATCATTGTCGAATTGGCTGCAGCTTTTCTGGAAAGTTAAAAGCTGAGCCACTGAGGCTTTTGCAAGTTATCTCAGCCAGTTCAGGATGCTCAG